TCTTTCTGACTTACTTCACTCTATATAATAGGTTCTAGGTTCACCCACCTCATGAGAACTGACTCAAGTACATTGATTATAGCTGTTTAGTAGGTCCAAAGTGGCATTTCATTGTGGCTTTAATTTACATTTTTAAATGACTAATATATTGAGTATTTTTTCATTTACTATTAATAATTTGTATGTCTTCTTCAAAGAAATGTCTGTTCAGATCATCTGTCCATTTTTAATTGGTTGTTTATTTTCTTTTTGTTGAATCATAAGGGTTCTTTATATAATCTGAATATGTCATTTACCAGGAATGTGATTTGCAAACATTTTCTTACAGTTGGTGGCTTGTCTTTTTATTTTCTTGGTGGTATCTTTTGAAGCACAAAAGTTAATTTTGATGAAGTCAGATTTGCCAGTTGGTTGTGTCCATTAATGTCAAAACTAAGAACTCTTTGCCTAACCCAAGGTTGTGAAGATTTCCTTCTAAAAGCTTTATAGCTTTAACTCTTATATTATGTCTAGACACATCTTGAATTAATTTTTATATGATGTGAAAAATCCAGTTTCATTAAAAAAATACCTTACACATTAGAAAAATGAGCAGACTTTAATTTTTAGAGCAGTTTTTAGGTTTATAGAAAGATGGAGCAGAAAGTACAGCGAGCGCCCATCCCCTTCCACACACACTGAGCATCCTCTCTTACTGACATAGTGCATCATGTGGTACGTTTGTTATAAGCCGATGTTGATGCATATATTAGTCCACCAGGCCTGCTGTAACAAAGCACCCACGCTGGGTGGCTTAAGCAATTAATTTTCACATGATTCTGGAAGCTGGAAGTACAAGGTCGCGGTGTAGGCAGGTTTACTTTCCTCCAAGGCCTATGTTGTGTCTTGTGATGGCCATCTACTCACCGTGTCCTCTCCCAGTTTTCCTCTGTATGTGCTCATTCTTTGGAACCCCTCTCGTGTCCAAATTTCCTCTTATTATGAGGACACCAGCTGGCTTAGATGAGAGCCCATCTGAAGACCTCATTTTGAGTTCATCACGTCTTAAAGGCCCTTTCTTCAAATACACTCATATTCTGAAGTCTTGGGGTTTGGGGAGACACAAGTCAGTCCATAAAGGATACATCATTAGTAACTAAAGTCCATAGTTTACATTAGGATTCATTCTTCATGTCATACGTTCTGTAGGTTTTGACAGCTATAGAAAGGCGTGTTCTATCATTGTAGCATCATACAGAGTAGCTTCACTGACCTAAAAATCCCATGTTCCACATATTCATCCCATGCCCCCTACCCCTTGACAATCACTAATACTTTTATTGCCTTCATAGTTTCACCTTTTCCAAAATATCATATAATTGCATTAATAGTTATATGGCCTGGGTCAGGAAGAGCCCCTGGAGACCAGGGATAGGCTACCAACTCCAGCATTCTGGGGCTTCCCTGGTGGCTCAGAGGTAAAGAATCCACCTGCAATGCAGGAGACCTGGCTTCAATCCCCGGGGTGGGAAGATCCCCTGGATGAGGGCACGGCAACCCACTCCAATATTCTTGCCTAGAGAACCTCCATAGTCACAGGAGCCTGGCGGTCTATAGTCCATAGCGTCACAAAGAGTCAGACACAACTGAGTGACCATGCACAGCACATCCTTTGCAGATTGGCTTCTTTCACTTAGTAATATGCTGTAAGATTCTCCATATCTTTTCATGGCATAATAGTGCATTTCTTTTCAGCACTGAATAATATTCCATCATCTGGTGCCCCATGGTTTATTTACCCACTCTCCCATTGAAGCATATCTTGGTTGCTTCCAGGTTTATTTTTTAATTCTTTTTATTTGACTGTGCTGGGTCTTAGTTGCAGCATGTGGGATCTATTACCTTGATCAGGGATCAAACCTAAGCCCCCTGCATGGGGAGCACAGAGTTTTAGCCACTGGACCACCAGGGAAGTCCCACTTCCAAGTTTTGGTAGTTATGAATATAGGTGCTATAAATATTTGTGTGCAGGTTTTGTGTACACAGAAGTTTTTAACTCCTTCAGGCACATATAAATGAGCACAATTGCTGGATCCTATAGTAAGAGTGGGTTTAGTTTTATAAGAAGCCACCAAGCTATCAGTCAGAGTGGCGGTACCATTTGCATTCCCAATAGTGGAGGAGGGAGGGTTTCGTCAGCTCCACATCCTCACCAGCATTTGGTGGTGTCAGTTTTCTGGATTTTGGCTGTTCTAATAGGTATGTAGTCACATCTCACTGGTTTTAAACTTGCATTTCCCTGATGCTGTATGATGTGGACCATCTTCTCATATGCTTACTTGCCATCTGCATAACTTCTTTGGTGAGATGTCTATTAAGGTCTTTGGCTCACTTTTTAATCAAGTTCTTTGTCTTTTTATTCTTGAGTTTTATGAGATCTCTGTATATTTTGTATAATAGTTCTTTATCAGACATATCTTTTGAAGACATTCCACCCCCCACCCCACTGTGGCATCTTGTTCTTTTACCAGTGTGTTTCACAGAGTAGAAAAATTTGATTTTAATGAAATTTAGCTATCAATGGTTTTTCATGAATCATGCCTTTGATGCCATAGGCACAAGTTTATTGCCAAACCCAAGGCCATCTAGATTTTCTCCTATTTATCTTCTAGGAGTTCTATAGTTCTGCATTGTACATTTGTGTCTGTGATTCGTTTTGAGCTACATTTTGTGAAGGGTTTCAGGTTGATTCGTGGTTTTGCGTGTGGATGTCCACCTGCTCCAGCATCGTTTGTTGAAAAGCACTGTTCTTCCACTATGGACTCTGCTTTCCTCCTCTGTCTGCGAGCAGTTGACTATTTGTGTGGATCTAACTCTGGGTTTTGTTGTGTTCCAGCTTTATTTATTCATTTTTAGTTAATTAATATTTAGCTTATGGATGTCTAGTCACACTACCACTGTTTGTTGAAACACTGTCTTTTCCCACATTGAGTTACCTTGGTATTTTATAGAAATTCAGAGCATAAGTGTTACTTCTGGACCCACCTGTCTGCTCCACTAATCTGTAGCTTACCCTTGCCCCATGATCACACTGTCTGATTACCTTGATTTTATAAGAAGCTTTGAAATTGGGTAGTGCAAAACCTTCCAACTTCATTTTTCTTCTTTTTCTCCCCTCCAAACTGTTTTGTTTATCCTAGAGACCCATTTCATGTGAATTTTACTATCAGCTTGTCAATTTCCACAAAAAAAGCCTGCCGGGATTTTGATAGAACGAAACTTACAGATCTACTTGGGAAGAATTGCCAGCTTAACAGTATTGAACCATCCAGTCCTTGAACATGGAGTTTCTCTTCATTTATTTAGATCTTCTTTAATTTCTCTCAACAATGTTTTGTCGTCTTCAGTAATTTAAGGCTCATACTTCCTTTGTTAAATATATTGAGTCTTTACTTCTCTTTAAGTGCTGTTGTGAGTGGGATTGTATCTTTATGTAATTTTGAGCATTCTCAGCTTTGGAGGACTTTGCTATTTGGGGAACATTGTTCTCGTCTATAAAAGTTGTAAGTTATGTTATTCCAACCAAGTTTGTGCTGTCATTTCAGGCACATTGAGGGTAAAGTACAAATACTTTATAATTACCATCTCAAGTGACTTGGGGTTGCTTGTTGGTCATAGATTATGTATTCATTAACTTTGTGCACAAAATCAGCTATTTATTTGGCTCACATTACTTTGGTGGTGATTTTGGCGAGGCTCAGCTGACTGAGTGGTTTTCTGCCCTAAGCTGGGTTGGCCTATGTGTCCACAGTCACCTGATCACCTGTTTCTTAGGACCAGCTAGATGTTGGCTGTCACCACGAGGGTGCCTGGACATGTTTTTTGCCTGGTGGTAGGCTAGCCCAGGTTTGTTTGCATGTGAGAGGTAGAGATCTGAGAGAATTGAGGGGCCCTGGACCCCAGCAGGCCTGGGCTCAGAGCTGGTGAGCTCTTGCCAGCTTCATTCTGCTGCTCAGAGTGAGTCACAGGTCAGCCAGATTGAAGGGGCGAGGAGATAAACCCCATCTCTTGATGGGAGGAGCTTCAGAATCACATGCAGAGGTGTGTGGATATAGGAAGGGGAATAACTGGCCATTTTTGCAAACAGTTCACTACGATAGTGTGTGCTTCCGTAACTCAGCCTGGCTAATTAGTCTCTTTGTTTGTTTGTCTCTTTGGGAAATTACTTACCTTTGAATTTTTGCAGGCACAAATACCACCTCTTCCCATAGGCGCTGAGTAGGTGATATATTTCTTTTCTTAGATTCTGGGACATTCAGAGCACAAGCAACCATGTAGTTGGGAAGTGAGGAAGGTGATGTAGTTGGGTGCATGTGGCATTTTCTAGCGTAGGGTGATAACAGAGGTGACTGACTGCAAGGGCATATTCCTGTTGCAGAAACAGCAGCTGTGCTGGTATTAGTTCTGGTTGCAGTAAAGTTAAATCAGTGTAGCAAAGTGGGAGAGGGGCCGGCTGTAGCCCGTCTTGCTTTGCAATAGCAGTGTCACTGATGTTGCATGGAAATCAGGACTTGGTCTGTTTATGGTAAATGTGCTTTGCCATAATTGGCCAAGGTGAACTCTGAACAAGTCCTAGCCCGTTTCCCTGGGTTCAGGGGGAAGTCTGACGTTGCCCAAATGCTCCTCCTTGGCTTTGGGGGGGTCTCTGAACTGTGTACAGTGAGGGAGGGGTGTGAGGAGTCTGCGTGCATCATGGCCTCACCCTGCCTAGTCCCCTGGGTTCGCTGTGATTTCAGGGCGATGGCTGAGTGGTCTTTCTCTCAGCAGTTGAGAGCGTGTGGACTGCCAGTCAGCTGAGAAGCAGGTGGTTTCAAGAGATCTGCTGTCTTGTCTTCGGGCATTTAGTTTGAGAGGCTGGTGCTGCTTCCAGGGGGACCAGGGACCTGGCCACGTGGGGTCCCGCTGGGTCCTGGCAGGCTGGTCCAGCCGGGGGACCACGTGTGTCTCTTGTCTTCCAACAGGCAGCCTGTGTGGCGACGGCACGAGCTCCTGCTACCTCCTGCCGGTTTTCGACACCGTGTTTGTCCGGAGGAGCCACCGCCGGCGGGGCCTGGGGCTAGCCATGCTGCGGGACTTCTGCCAGACGTTCCGAGATGACGAGGCCTTGGGCATCAGCTGGCCCATCTCGCCCGCCATGTACCAAGGTGACGGCTGCGTTGGGGAGGAGCATCTGGGGAGTGGGACGCGTATCTCCTGTGTGTTCCAGATGCTTCTGGGGCGGGAGATCCCTCGGAGCCCCGGCACCATGACAGGCCTGTGGGTTTTCTCTTCCTTCTGAGAAACCTCCCGTTGCTTCAGCACTGAGACCGCAAGCTTGATCACAAGGGGCAAACCTTGTCCAGCCCCTGAGAAAGAGCTGGATTTAGAAAATAATAAAAACGAAACCAACCCAGCGTCAGAGAGCAGCAGAATGCAAGGAACTTGCGCTCCACTGACGGCTGCTGTCGGGCCTCAGAGGGCCTTTGCTCTCTCACGAGAAGATGGTAATCATCACTCTGCCCTTCCAGCCAGGAGCCCCAGGGGGACTGGGAGCTGAGGGAAGCGTGCTCCGAGCCCTCCCTGGGTTCCCCTGGTGAGGAGCAGGCTTCAGAGGACACGGCCCACCCCCGGCCGGTGCTGCCAAGACCCTCCCACGGCCTGTACAGGCAGGGAAGGAGGCTCTGCAGGTTCTGACTGCGAATCACACTGGGGGTCTCAGTTGCTCCTGCGTCACCCTCACTGTGCCGGGGCTCGGGGGTGAGCAGGCAGCCTGTGGACAGCGCAGCAGCTGGAGGCTCCAGGCCAGCTGCTCCACGCCTCCCTGACCGCCTTTTATCCGGTACAGTCCTGCCTTGGAATGGCCCAGAGGGCCTGCTGCCCAGGGCCCCATGCTTTAGTGCCCTGTTGAGGCTGAACTTCTGTCCATGGAGTGAGGAATCTGTGGGCCCAAGGGGATGTTCTCAGCTTGGTCCAGGCCACTCCTCAACCAGCTCAGGCTACTGGAACCCCAGGATTCTTGCCTGGGGCTGCCAAGGGCCCGAGTGGACTCCGTCTTGGACCTGTGCACTTAAGGGCAGACCGTAACACCCATCTGCACGTCCTCATTCTGGTGGGGTGTCATGGAGTGTGGCTGTGGGGCCCACGTTCGTATGTACAGTGTGTGGGGAGCCGGACGGGGAGGAGAGGGGGGGCTGCCAGCTGGGGGCCGGCTCTCTTGTCATTGCCCCCTTCAAGTGCAAAACACCCAGGAGTCTAAGAATTCTAAATTTAAAACTGGCTTTTCCTCTTGTTAAGGAGTTATATTTGTCAAGACAGGAGAGCAGGGCTTTCTATCTAGCACTCGACTAGCTCGGCTTCCACCTTCTTAGCATCACGCCCTCTGGGTTTCCACCTGTGCTCTTGCCAGGGGGCCTGATGCAGCCCCCAGCACCGGCAGGACAGGGGCCGTTCCCACTCGACTGGGGCCCCTGTCGCGTGGAAATGCTCACCCTGTGAATGTGGCACAGACGTCTACCACCTTGAGAGGGTTCGGAGTCCGGGCGTCGTGGATGAGCTGGAAGGTTCCCTGGGAGAGGAGGGCGGCGGAGCTCAGAGGGAGGGACGGTGTCTGCAGAGGGGACTGGGTGGGTGATGTTATGGGCCTGACTTGGGTCCCCCAAAGTCTAACCCCCAGGGTGACTGTATGTGGAGATGGGGCCTGTTGTTGTTAGTCACTCAGTCATGTCTGACTCTTTGTGACCACACGGACTGCCTCACTCCAGGCTCCCCCGTGACCCACGATCCCCCAGTGTTTGCTCACACTCACATCCACTGTGTCAGTGATGCTGGGAGCTATAAGGAGGTGATTAAGGTTGGACGAGGTCCTAAGGGGGGGCCTTGATCCAACAGGACTAGTAAGAGGAGGCCCCCGTAAGAAGAGGGGATAGGGCCTAGTGGGTACAGAAGGGATGGGGAGAAGACACAGTCAGAAGAGCCGTCTCCAAGCCAAGGAGGGAGGCCTCAGGAGAAGGCAGGCCTGCTGACACCTTGATCTCGAACTTCCAGCCCCTAGAGCTGCGAGAAGATAACTGTCATGGTTTAGGGCCCCCCCACGTGTGGTGTTTCACTGTGGCCACCCACGCAGGCTAGACGGGGTGGGCGAACATGGGAGGCAGGGGCGGGCGCAGAGTGGTCTGTGTGCGGCAGAGAGAGCCGGGGGTGGGCCGGGCGGGGGACCCAGGGGAGGGCCGGCAGGGCCAGCGGCCCCCCTGACCGCGATGTGCACCTCCCCCCAGTCTGCAGGAAGTTCCTGGCGGCCCACCCAGCCGAGCGGGGGCGCCTGTGGGAGGTGGAGCCCCCCGGAGCCTGGGGCCAGCGAGGCAACATCTGGCTGAAGGTTCAGCTTCAACAGTCAAGACAAGCCGACTGTGAGTTGGGGTGGAGACGTGCCCTGTGGGCTGATCGCGTCTAGGGTCGGTAGCATAAGTACAGGTTTGGATCGAGTTCGTTGGGGAGGCCATCTCTTTGTCGCTGTTGCAGGAACAAAGGAGGGAGCAAAAGCCGGGTGGTGGCATCCTGGCCTGCTGCCGCCTCCCTTCCTGAAGTAGCCACACCTTCCAGACCCTCTTGCTTAGATATCAGCTCTCCCTCAGTGTAGCCAGATCAGAGATTCCCTGGGAGTCGGGGTCCCCCTGGTCCGATTGGAAGGATCACGCCTTGGAGACGCCGGTTCTCGCAGGCGGAGTGCGTCATCTGTACAGATTCTGAGGCACACAGAGGTTAGTGGGGGAGCGGACTCTGCCCCTCGTCTGCTGGGAGGGTTCCCACAGGCAGCACCCCGCGTTCTGTGTCTGTGAGGCCTGCCTTGCGCTGGGCGGTGGGCAACCCTGTTAGGGTCACACCTGCCACCTCCAACAAGCGTGCAGTGGGTTTGGCGATGGATGGCGTCTGTGCCCGGGTGGGCTAGTCTCAGGTGGGGAGGCTGACCCCCCCAGGCCGGGTCTCAGTGGCAGCAGGGCTGCAGTGGGGGGCATCTAACTGTTCAGATTCGTCGGCCGCAGTGAAAGCGTGGCTGCCCTCTCCTCCTGGTCCCAGCCCCCTCCAGCGTCTGTGCCAGCCCCGTGGCTGCAGGCAGCTCGTTAGGGATGGGCGCGCTGGGTGCCAGGCCTGCTCTTCCCCTGGGAGATGGATTCCCCGAGGTGGAGACCGGGGAGGCCGCTGGGGAGCTCATTGATGACGATAGCGATAGGTTTTGCTCCTCGGCTGCCTTTTGGCCAGGAGGCTTAATGGGTCTTTCCAGAAATTAACGGGGTGGCCAGCCACCGGGAAGGAGGCTGCGCAGGGCCTTGACTGCGATTCTAATGAGGCAGTTAAGTGACTTGCCCTGCGGCGCGCAGTCAAGAGATGAAGGGAAGCCCGCCGGGTCCGGGGCACTTGGCCCAGCGGCCGTGGGGCTTCACAAATGAGCCTGCAGCCCCCACGCTGGCCCAGACTCTGCGGCTTGGACACTGCAGCTCCTTGGCTGGAAGTGGGGGGACAAAAAAGGGCTGCCCTTCAGAATGTGGAAATAGCACAGGCTGGAGGGGGTTGGCAGGGGAGGACATTGTCGCATAATTGGGGAGATGGTTTCCTTTCAGGAGAATTCCCCTGGGGGTTATTTCAGGAGCTGAGGAAGCTGGTGTCATCTGGTCAGGGGAAGCAAGCTAGGATTCCGATGCCAGCCCTGTCGCTGTAACTCACTCCGAGATGCACCAACTCTCTCCTTAAAACAGCAAATGAACTTTCACAGAGAAGGTTCTAGAAACATGCTGGAGTCCCTTGAAGGAAGAAGGGTCATTATTATAATTAGGGCTCTAATTAGATTACTGAAGCTGTAAGGTTTTGAAAACTCTAAATTAGGGTCTTTTCACTCCTTGTGTAAATCATGCTTAGTTTCCAGTTTCACCCACACCTCCTGTCAATCCCCCAGGGCTGGCAGTCAGGATTTTAATTCGCTCATGAAAGTTTTCTGCCAACCAGCTTCATCTTGTAACAATTTTGTCAGTTAGCGCTGACACTCAGGTTTTTTCCGAGTGGAAGCCACAGATGCAGTCACAGATTAGCCCAGATGCTTGCAGTTCCTCAATTTTTAGTCTGTTTCTTTCCTTCCAGAAATCAGCACATGTTAGCCCACTGGGGTTTCCCAACCATCACCAAACAGAGCAGGTACTGGAAGCTTCTCCTCCCTGGAAATCTCATGAGACCATTTATTTTTAGTTTTTAATTATTCTTAGGGTCACTTTCTTGATTTGTTCTGTTCTTCAAGTTCTATCTTTTGTCCCTTCATTCCTGACTAATATTTAGGAGGTCTCCCACAGTTTCATGGACCATAGGAATAGAACTTCAGCAAGAAGCCCGGTGGGGCCGTGGCTTTTTACATTCTAAGTAAGGCGTAGACATTTTTACAACATTCCACAACATCCCAGCGGGAAGTTAACTTCTGCTCCTTTCAGATGTTTTAAAATCTATTTTTGAAGCTGTGTCATTTGTGAATTGGGGCTTTTAGAGTTTGCATGGTCCTGACTGTTGATAACATCTGTGGCTTATAAAGGCCCTTAAAATATTTTCAGGGTTATTTGGATCTTTTGAGAGAAGGAGTTTGTGGGAAACTTTTTCTTCCTTCACTCAGTTACAGATGAAACCTTTGAAACTTGACCAATAGGATCAGAATTCTGTCTTATGTGACTTCCCTGAAAGCCTGCACATGCCTAAGTTTCTTTCCTGGAGGAGAAGAAACTAACCTACATGAACAGTTGATTTGTTTGGTTTTTTTTAAAGAAAAAAAGTTGCTGGACGCAAGAAGTAATTACACACAGATTTAAAAAAATTTTTTTTTTTTCATTTTTAGGTTATATATTTGCTTTCTTTTTCCAGGTGAATTTTTAGTAGATTCAATTGTCATCCTCAGGGGGGAAATTTTTTTTTTTTTTTTGTATTTACATGTAATTTTTAAGCTGGAGGGAATGGACATTAAGATATGTGAAATATTTGCGCTGAGGAGGTGGGGTCATTTTTCTAAAAGCCTGATGCTTTGCAGACTGCAGCTGTAACTTGTTCCAGCTTGCTCTGGGGCGTCGGACATTACATGGAGCATGTTTATGGGGGAGAGCTATGCTGAGAGGAGCAAAGGGCAGAACCATCACATCAGGAGGGCATTTTGAGCTGTCGCTGCTCTTCGAAAGGTTGTGTGGCTCCCTCTAGTGGCCACTGTTATCATCTGCAGCCCAAGGTGGTAATGGTTAGTTTCTGCCTTTGCCCTGTGTGGCTGCTTCGCCGTTTCTCATCCTTGTGGGTCCAGATTAGTGTGTTCATTAAAAAAAAANAAAAAAAGAAGTATTGCACCTTCATTGCCTAGGAATAAAATGCAGGCGAAAGTTTGATACCTACTGGCATACTTTCAGCCATAACACTGGAGAAGGAAATGGCAACCCACTGCATTATTCTTGCCTGGAGAATCCCATGGACAGAGGAGCCTGTGGGCTACAGTTCATGGGGTTGCAAAGAGTCAGACACGACTGAAGCGACTTAGCACACACGCACACGTCCATAACACATGAAAACAAAGGATCACACATCAGGAAAGGAAGAAAGTGTATAATGAAATATCTACTTCATTCCCTCATTCAGCTGAGCACTGATAATGGAGCATTTCTCAGCAGTTCTCATTGTCCAGGTGATCAGGATACAGTAGTGAACAAGGCTGGTTTTTGTGAAGGAAGGTACATGGGCAACTAGTACTGTGTTGTATAAAATCTTTACATATCAGAGAGAGCTAACGAGGACTGGTGTTTTTAAATGCTTATAATTAAATTTTGCCAAACCAAATTTTGCTCATTTATGATGTCTGGAAATGAAACTGTACACATTTATTTATATAGGCAAAATGTAGTACATGTATTCTTTATTTGAAAAATGCAATTTGTCTCTTCAGCTCAAATAGAAAACTGCCTATTCTTTTCCTAAGGTATCGGAACCCCCCACCACACCTTCACATATGGATTTTGAGGTGTGGGGAGGTTACACAGTAGGATAAGAAAGTCACCCCCTTCCAAGTTGATGCTGGTTTGGTAGGACGCAGAGGGAGGCTGAGTTAGTGTGTGTGACTCTGGTTTCTATTGTGAGTAAGAATTCCAGTGCGCGAACGGGAGGGCTGAGGAATAGAATGGGAAATCTGACTCCAAATAATGCCTGAAAAGCTGGGGGGATGGATCAAAATTCCAGTTCAGAAATGCTTGAATAGAGGTGCCCTCCCAACAACCTGGCAGGTTTTCCTGTCCTAGGAAGGCACGTAGCAGATGTCAGGGTGAAGGTCAAACAGGACAGAACTGGGTTGTGGGGAGCCATGCCTTACGTTATCATACAGGGCCCCCTTCTATTAATAATCGTTTGTCTGTCTGCTCCCTTGCGAGTCACTCCATTTGCTCACCTCCCTCTCTTGCTTGGGGAGGGCAGCTCACCCAGGACATTCCAAGGAGGCCGTGGCTCCTCGTGGGCTCTCAGGATGATGGACCCAGGCTCTCCCATCACGGAGGGGACCACAGGTACGGTGACGAGCCCGTGTCATTCTAGGGCTGGTCCTCGGGCCATGCTCTGGGCTCCTCTGCGGCAGTGGGCCCTTGATTTACGCTCAGAATCTCTGAGCTGTGGTGGATGGAAACACCATTGCAATCAGACTTTTCGTGGCCCTCTTCTCTAAGCTTGACCAGCTCCAATGAAGCCAAGACTAAGCAGAGAACATGTGGGAATCGGCCATAACTTTATGTTAAGGAAGTATGGGAAAATCTGAATTTCAAATTCTGCGACAGACCAGTGTCTTTCAGGCAGAACAAATGCGTGGATGAACGTGTTTTTCTTTCCTCCCCTGCCCCTCCAGTCCACATGCTCCTGCTTGGTCCCTTCCGTCGTGTCCGACTCTTTGCAACCCTGTGGACTGCAGCCTGCCAGGCTCCTCTGTCCATGGGATTCTCCAGGCAAGAATACCAGAGTGGGTTGCCATTTCCTCCTCCAGGGGATCTTCCCGACCCAGGGATCGACCCCTCATCTCCTGCGTCTCCTGCATTGCAGGCGGATTCTTCACTGCTGAGTCCAGATGCTAGAAAATGGAATCGGGCCTTAGGTTATGAGCTGGCCCAGAGTGATGGCAGACAGAACCGTGGGCAAGGCTGGGCTACTGGATAGTTCTCGGGCCTGCTGTCACTCAGCATTTTGTAGGATTTTGGTGAGATATGATTCTGCGAGCATTTGCCTGAGGCCACGCCAGACACTTGTACCCACAAGAGGATGGCACTGACATCCATTCGCTGGCATAGAAGGGCCTCTGCTCTTGAATTCCTGGAGAGGTGATAACAATGTTAAATTCCAAAACTGACAATTGCCCGTTGTGGGGAGTGCTGCTTATCTTGGAAAGTAGGTGGTTCTGGGATAGAAGACTCAACATCAAAGGCAGAAAATATCCCAGAAAGTGCTGGATTGTCTTGGAAAAGCTGCCTGGTGTCTGACATCAATTCTCGTCCTCTGGCAGAGAAGGGCCTTCATGTTCCTCGAGTTGCAGTGGAACGATGGGCTGACTTAGGACACTCTCAGGCTACTGAGCTGTGCCTCTTCGCTGACCTCTGCCTCTTCTTTGCAACCCCGAAGGCCGTTAGAGGAAGCAGGAGGTGTTCAGGGCGCCCTGATGCCCATGGGCGTGCATGTCTGGGGACATCTGCATTTTCCAACTTTTGAAGTAGAGTTTCCTTAGCCNCACAGGCCTAGCTGACCCCCGCAGGCTGAGCTGACCCCCGCAGGCCGAGCTGACCCCGGGAGGCTGGCCTGCCCTCAGGCTTGAAGCGCTGCCGGCCCTCCACGCTCCTGTCACAGGCACTGGCCCCTGTCCCGCTGTGCTGTCTTTTGAGGGACAGACGACCACACCGACCGCCCTACCCCAGGCTTGATGTGTGGGCTCAGGTGACGGGAAGTCTGAGAAGCACTGCAGTTAATCCCGAAGCACTGTTTGGGGCAAGTGCTTGGGACAGTGGGCCTCCCCTCTCTGCATACCTGCCCAGCCCTGCTCCAGGCAGTTCCCAGGCCCAGTCGGGGTTCCCACCCCTGGACCCCAGGGAGGACAGGCGAGGCTCGCCCTGGCCATGCTGCTGGTGGTTCACAGGGTGAGGCGCAGTCCAGCAGCCCCACGAGGCCCCAGAACCCGGCTCCTGAACTTGGGGTGGACTTTGCATGCGTTGGCCTGGCCTCACCCAGGGTCAGTAGCATTCTTCCCAGGGCAGGCCAGTCAGCTGTCTTGGGGTGGGTGAGCTGAGTGCTGCCCTGACTTCTGGGGGAGTGTCCATCTGACTGTATCACCGGTGACCCCCACTCCCTTGGCTTAACACTGTCTTTGCAGCGCCCAGGGCCATCACAGAAGCCCCCCGACTTGCGTCCCCCTCTGCGCTCCCCGCCCCGCCTTCTGTCTCCAGGCCTCCCATCTTCAGGCACAGAAGGGTCTTACTTAGGGTCTGCCGAGGGTCTATGCCTCCCGTCTCTCACCACACCCTCGTGCACACACACGTGCGCACACACACACACATCAGTCAGGCAGATCAGTCAGGCTCCTTCCTGCACACACACACACACATACACGCATGCACATCAGCCAGGCAGATCAGTCAGGCTCCCTCCTGCATGCATACACACACACACATGCACGCACGTGTGCACATCAGTCAGGCTCCCTCCTGCGCACATGTCTGCTCTCAGCTCAGGCATCCCCCCAACCATGGCCTCCACCCTTCCCACGTGGCCTCCATGCCCTGGTCTCTGCTGGGCCTCCCTGAGCCTCCACTGGGGTCAGCTCGGGGTGGGGTGAGTTGTCTCTCCTGTCCCCAGTATCAGGGCAGAGCTGGTCCTCAGTAACTGGGGTCGGGGGGGGTAGTGGATGGTAACAGCTCTCCTCGGGAGGGAGGGGTGACACCTTCCTTCTGTTCCTCTGTTGCTGAACCCTCAAGAGGTGGGCGGAAGGACAGTTTCAGTTTTTTAGGGACACAGGGAAGCCCATCCTGGAGCCTGAGGTTGGGAAGGAGACCCCTGGTGCCCAGTGCTGGCGAGATGCCGACCTACTGCTCCCGAGTGATCCGAGGGCGCGTGGGGTGGGACGTGGTACTTACTACTCACTCGCTGTCTCCCTGTTGTCTGTCCATCCCTGCACCCTCCCATCTGTCTCTGTGGCCCTCCTGCTCTCTCCCTCCATTTCTCCACTCGTCTGCTCACCCGCCCATTGACCCAGCTGCCCTCCTGTCTGTCCACCCGCCATCTCTTCACGTCTGTCCATCCATCCACCCGTGGTCCGTCCATCCTGTTGTACAACACATATTCAGTGTGCATGCTCAGGGCCAACCCTGCATGTTACAGAGAAGTGAGCTATGGTCCCTGGACTCACAGAAACCATTCTCTGAAAGCGTCCTTCCTGGAATCTCCAGTGCGTGTGTCTCTCTTATACCATTGGGAAAAGCGAGGAGGCCAGCTGAGCAGTAACAGCGCCTAGGGCTCCGTGCGGAGGTGCCAGAAGCCGCCCCCAGGGCACGTGGGCTCCCTGGGAGGAGGCACAGCCGTCCTGGGGTCTCGGGTGTGCAGCCGAGGGCTGCTGTGAGTGACGGAGGATGGAACCTCCCACACGCGACGATGTGAACTGCGAACATTGCACTGTTTGAGGTCAGTCATTGGCGCTTTGTGTTTAGGTGGAGATGAACTGATCAGGGTGGCTCAGGAGTTTGATAAAGTCACTACTCAATAAAGGAATCCTCCCAAGGAAGAAAAACCCATCTGTTGATGTAATTCATTTGAGGATGAACACATGAACTGCGTGGGAGGGACACGTGACGGGCTCAGAGCAGCCGCTCCTGGCTGTGCCTGGCCCTGCTGGTGTGGGGCTGGGGGCAAGAGCATCAGTGAGGTGGTGTGTGCGGGGTGTTGTTGGATTAAACCACCTTTTAAAATGTATTATTCAGTTCTCCATGTTCTTGCATGTTCTTATTTAACAGCTCATTGAGATATAATTTACAGTCCGTAGACTTCATTTCACTTAAAGCATATACCGCCACGTTTCAGTATGTTTACAGAGTGCGCATCTGTCACCGCGGTCAGTTCCCCAAGGATGAGCCCTGTGCCTGTGAGCAGCCTCTCCCTTCCCACCCCCGCCCGGCCCAAGGCAGCCGTGAATCTACCCTCCTGCCGTGGAGTTGCCTGTTGTGGACACACAGTACACGTGGGTTCACACAATGTGTGATCATTTGCACCTTTTATTTAAGCATAATTTTTTAAGGTTCACTCATGTTGTAGTGTGTATCACTTCATTTCCTTTTATAGCTGAAGAATGTAAGTCTGAATACAAGTGTCTTATCACAGGCATCATTGGCAAATATTTTTGCCTGTTCCGTGGCTGTCTTTTCACTTTCTTGGTGATGTCATTTGAAGCGCAGCATGTTGAATTTTGATGAAGTCCAGTTTGTCTGGTTTTCCTTGGGTTACTTTTGGTGTTGCAGTAATAATGGTTGTGTTTTATAAACATGTGTCCTTTTATTCCCGTCTAATGGCAGTTATTGTGGAGAAAGTTATTTGACTCTACAATGAATATAGAAAAATCCACAGAGGAGCCATTACTTGGAAGAAAGCTGTCCTTAGATCCCAGACCCGCACCGTGAGATCCAGAAATCCCACTCTTGTATACACCCAAGGGAGCTGAAGGCTGCTGTCCACACAAAACTTGTACACACATGTTCATAGCAGCATTGCTGATAATAAGAATTGGAAATCAATTTAAAAATCCATCACTTGGTAGGGGGATATAAGATGTGGTATATCCACGTGATGGAATATTCTTCAGCTATAAAAATGGGTGAAGTGCTAATGCATACTACAGCACGGATGAGCCTCAGCAGCCCACTCAGCGAGAAGACCAGATACAAGGGGTGTGGAGCGTGTGGGGGACCTGGGTCCTGCGAAAGCTCACCTCGGGGGGCAGGGTCCAGCGGCGGTGGTGATGCCCTGCTCCACACCGGACCTCAGCTGGAGTGTCAGTTCTAGGCCACCTCGGCATTGGGCATCTTGTCCCAGAGGGTCTTTGGGAACAAGCTCTTTGGGATGAAGGATGAATGAATCCAGCGGGCTGGGTGGGAGGCCAACGCCTTGTGAGATGGTTTTTAGAATCCCTATTTTCTGTGAGAAGGAAGGTAAAATTTCTGATTTTGGTTTAGTTCTCTTTCTGAGGAGAAAATGGTCAGCAGCCAGAAGTTCTGGAGGGAGGGGCTGAGTTTGCACGTTGAGAAGCCTCTGTCGGTCCCTCACAGGGCACAGAACATCGCCGCGGCCATGCCGGGGAAGGGGAGCCGGGACACGTGGACACGGTCACGTGAGGCCCGCAGGCCCGGTGCCCAGCCAGACAGCGAGGAGCGGGGTCTCTGTCGCTGTCAGCATCAAGTGAGACACAGTCAGAAAGAGTAGTTTCCTGTCAGAGGAACCCTGTAAACGGCCACAGCAGTGGAAAGGCTGCCATGAGCCTGTGTTAAAACATACTGACTTATCTTACGGAGCCCTCCTTTCTACCACGCAAAAGTCACCTTCAGACTTGCTAGAAGGCAATCTCTGCACCAGGTACCCTGTCTTGCTGGGAGTTTTTACTTTTGTTTCAGGTTCGAGGGAGTCGTTAACAAAAGGAACCACTCGTTACGCACAAATAAGCGACTCCAGTATTTAATAGAGAATTATCTAAGTTACCTTCACTATACCATCATTAATAGAAAAGAGAGGTAGAAATAGTGAGGAGAGTCACAGCACATACGTCTCTGAGTTGGGCTGACTAGCATCAAGATTCCGACAGCACTGGAAGTCTCCTGTGACAGCAGTCTGGAGTCCCTGTTGGGAGAAGGTCCTAGGCAGAGTGTCCACCCCAGGGGCGAGACTTCACACTGCAGTTTTAGGGGTTCCTGCTTACAATCCCAGGCCACAAACTGACATCATCTTCAGTTTGTGAGCAAAATTGCAGCTCTTGTTCCACTTTAACCTTTTTTTAAAACAATGCTTGTGAGTGATGAGATTTTCCAGACGGTTGGGGGATTGGCCAGAACCTCAGGGCTCAGGAGAATTCCAAGTCTCACTCCCTTTCTTAGCGATAGTGCCTCTCCGCTTACTGGGGTCAACTGGTGCATTTGTTGTGAGCAGGCATGAAGTCAGGGCCGTGTCCGGGCAGGTCAGAGGCCTCTCTTGTCTCTGAAGCCCGAATAAGACTACCTCCCTTCTGGTTTCCCTAACCGGCTCTTGACAGCGCGGGGCAGGCTGCAAAGCTTGAGGGCGCTCTTGGCCTTGGCTGTCCACAGCCTGAGGCTGCTCTCGGGTGCTGTGGAGGGCAGATGCTGAGCAGATGGAACCCTGGGTCCTGGGGTGTCCTTGAGTGCTCCGGGTCTGTTCACATCCTGTGGGGCCGGGCACTCTGGAATATTTGCCCTGGGGTCGCTCGAGTTGAGGGTGTTGGCTCGGCTGATCCTCATCCCTTTTCTGCCCTCCACTTGCAGATCAGGGGGCTTTGATTTGGGGAATGTTTGCTGGGTTCTCTTATGACCAAGAGAAGCAGATAAAATCAACATGATCATAATATATATGTATATGTATATATAGACAGACATATCTATAAATATGTACATATAGATATGTGTGTGTGTGTAAACACTAAGTCCCCTCCTTACAAACCGTCAAGTTGCGAACTTTCAAAGCAGTGAGCGTGTGTTCACAGGCCCAATCATGCACGCTCGTTCACGTGTCTGCTGTCCATTCCCACGGACACGTGTTTCTCCCCCTGGCTGTGCCGTGTCCCTTCCCGCACCGCACCGTGTAGACCACAGCATCTTTACTGCAAACCCAGGACGTCGGGAAGCAAGCGGGAGAGCGGCAGGGGCATAGCCGGTACCGCTAAGAAGTGCCCCGCGACAGCCCCGGAGCCTGCCGGGCAGCACGAGGTGCCTGCTAACGAAGACCTGATGGAATCGGAGGCCCAGAGGAGGGGCAGAGACGAGAGCAAGGAGAAGCAACCCAGGAACCTCAGGGACGAGCAGACGGCAGGGGACTGTCTTCGTTGGAGGAGGCACTGTTGGCTTTGAGGCGCAGGACCCAGATGTGGACCGCTCCGTGGAGGCTGCGGCAGCCACTCAGCACGCAGGCCAGGGCTCCCGCATCATCTCTGATGAGGAGAGAAGAGCCGCTGCCCAGACACCCCTGGATTGTTTATTCAACAGGGTGGGTGGAATCGGATCCAGCCAGGAGCCAGGACCCGCACCGTCAGCATGGGCACGAGTGACGCTCAGCTGGGCCTCCGTCTCCTGCTGCTGACGGCCCTGCAGCTCTCCCGCCTCCCGTCTCCCCCGCCTGCTCCATCAGTAACCTTGCCGGCCTGTTCACTGGATGCCCGCCGTGTGCCAGCTGCGGTACTGACTCCTGTAGTTTTATAGGTCCTGTACTGTGAGATTAAAAATGTTTTCTTTGTATTATTTGGTATTATTTGTGTGAAAAGTGTTATAAAGCTATTGCAGTACAGAACTCTATAGTTGATTTTGTTAGTTGGGTACCTAGGCTAACCGTGTAGGACTTAGGAACAAACTGGACTTGGGAACACTCTATTGGAATGGAATCCATTCATATGCAGGGGGCTTACAGGGTTATATATGGGCTTCCCAGGTGGTCCAGAATGAAAGATTCCACCTGCCGAGGCAGGAGCTGCAGGTTCGATCCCTCCACCAGGAAGAACCCCTGGAGAAGGAAGTGATGGCAACCCCCTCCAGTGTTCTTACCTGGAAAGTCCCACGGACAGAGGATCCTGGTGGTCTGCAGTCCACAGGGTCGCAGAGAGTCAGATACGACTTAGTGACTTAACGACAAGTGTAGAGAGTACAGTAGTACAGAAACTTTATTTCAAACAGGACTGAGTGAGCATGCGCGCACACACACACATAACCAACTACACACGCTGTGTGTATAAAATAAGTGTGAAAGCCCACATAAACTAAATCCGTGTAAGCTACATTAAAAGATGTTAAAAGGACTTTCCTCTGTGCCGTTTTCCTCCCAGGATCTTGTCCAGAGCAGACAGGGGCTTCAGTGAGGAGGAGACTCGGGCCCTGGGCCTGGGTCTGTGCCGCCCACCCCGGTGCCCGCTCACAGGCACGGCTCTCCGGGTCTCTGGCTCAGGCGGCCTCCCAGGGGGGCAGCATGGCTCTCTGGAGCTCCCATCCACCCAGACTCCTGCTGCCCTCCACTGACGCTTCCCCTGGTCCCACAAGGAGGCGGCGCTGCATCCTCACTGCTCTGGCCGCAGGGGGATCGTTTGCTTCCACCCAAGCAAGGTGGCTTCGTGAGGGGTGGGTCCTGGTGCCCAGGGGTGGCTCTCTCCTGCGGTCTGGCGCTCACGGGGGGCCCTCTGGGAGCTCCCGGCTGGGGCGGGGCACACCTCCGTTCTACCCTCTCTGGTTCTCTTTAGTCGCTTAGTTATGTCCGACTCTTCGGGACTGTCCATGGGACTCTCCAGGCAAGAATCCTGGAGTGGGTTGACATTTCCTCCTCCAGGGGATCTTCCTGACCCAGGGATCGAACCCACGTTTCCTTTGTCTCCTGCATTGCAGGCAGATTCTTTATCCGCTGAGCCATCGATGGAGCCCCCCTTTCTACTCTGGAGCCACCAAATCTATGAGAGACTTTCTATCAGCCTCTTCCTGTCCCTACCTAACTGAACCTTTTTTTTTTTTTGGACTTAAGAGCCAACTAAGCGGACATTCCTTTTTGGTTTCCTTCACTGAGACCTTGTATCCTTGTNGTAACCCCCCCCCCCCAGCCCGCCCAATGCCCAGGTCAGGCTCCTCAGACCCCGTGGCTATGTTCCCTTAGGTGATAAAAGGGGCTTTGCAGATGCGGTTAGTGATCTCAAAGAGGGAGATGGTCATGGGTTATCCAGATGGGCCCACTGTCATCACATGGTCCTTCAAGAAGGAGACAGAGGCAGATCTGACAACAAAAGACAATGTCGGACACGTATGTAGTGTGAGAAAGACTCCACCAACCCCGCAGGGTTTTAATTTGGAGGGACCACGAGCCAAGGAATGCAGGCGGCTCCTAGGGTCTGGGAGAAGCAAGGATATGGATTCTCCCTTAGAGCCTGGAGAAGGGAAACAGCCCTGCTGATACCTTGATTTTAGCCCAAGGAGACCTATTGGACTTCTGACCACTGGGACTGCGTGATAATCAGTCCATGCAGCTTGGGGACACCAAATGTGTGGTAATTGTTAACAGCAGCAACAAGACCCTAGCAGACCCTCGACGGTGGTTCTCAGCTGATGCCAATTTGACTCCAGGGGACAGTTGGCCCCATCTGGAGGCATTTCTGGTTGTCACCATGGGGTAAGGAGGGCTGCTAGCAGATGGAAACCAGGTAAGCTGCAACGTGAGGACAGCCCCTAGAGCCCCAGGAATTATGAGGCTTAAAATATCATCCTAGGTTGAGAAAACCTGTGCAGACTAACAGCGCCCTTAGCCCTCCAGCCCTGGGTATCTGCAGGTAGTCAGTCTCAGGCTTGTTTAGTTAGGGCTTGGCAGCAAGCTGAAAGTTCTGCCTGGAGAAGATGTCTGTGAAACACTAAACCACTTTTAACTGCGCACTTGTTCTGTGCTGGCCCGGTTCCTACACAGAGTGGGTTCCAGGGACTCACAGGGCTGTTTCCATCTTTGAGACTGAGGGCATCTTGGAAGATGACTCAGCAAGACCAGGCCAGTCTTACGGATGCTTTACCTCTTGGACCTTCCATCTGTCCTGATAAGAAAGTCCTTCCTTGTTTCCAGGAGAAATTACGGCATGCCTGTAGTTGAGTTCTGTGGAAGGGCCCATGAGATGCTCTGAAGAAGATTCAGACCTGGACGGGAAACTTAGAACTTGATTTTCGTCTTATTCATCTTGAGCCCTCTGACCGGTGGCAGAGAACAGCGATCCTAGGCTTGGGGAGCGTGGGCCGTTTTCCCAGGGAAATACCCGCAGCGGCCACACGATGGCAGTCTTGCACAAACCAAAGCCCGCTTGGCCCAGGCGGCCAGCGGCTCTCAGCGTGTGTCCTCGGCAGGGCACCCAGCCTGCCTCCTGCAGAGTCCGCGGAGGAAGCCCAGCCCGAGCCTGCATCTCTAATCACAGCTGGGAAGTCGGCGCTTTGCAAGGGAAAGAAAGAGCCGTGCAGACTGCTCATGCCTGTTTCTGTGGATTTTCAATATGGAACTAGTTTGCCACCGCCCCGGCCCCCCAGCTCCGGAACTGCAGTGAGCAATACGACAGACAATAGGTTAGACTTACTCTTGAGAGAGCTCAGATCTCTTTCTTTCTTTTTAAAGGAAAAATTGTTTAGCTTTTGTGAGTTGAGGAGTGCAGACAGATGTCAAAGTTTCCTGATTTCTTCACTCACCCCGTAGACTTGCGGGGGGTGTAGGGGGGAGACTTGGAGACACCAACCCACTAAAATGCACCCTGCCTCCCTCCTCTAGGTTGAAAGAGGCCTCCCTACTCCCTGGGTTGCTCACGGAGTGAATGCTTCCGTGCTGTGAAAGGGAGGGAATGAAAAGTGTTGAGTGAACACTATACCATCTGCAGCGGACAGTGTGCGTCGGCAAAGGGAATTGTTCCCTTTCGATTTCCATGTGCTGCTGTGTGCGATTCACACCGTTCCATCCGCACCGGGAGAAACAGCGAGAAATTCCATTAAGCTCTCTTTTTAAAAACAGCTTATTGAGAAAGGAAGGGAGGTGGAGGAAGGAAGGAGCTGGAGGAGGAGGAGTATTTGGGGCATGGCTGATAAGGTGGGAGGCAGTGGCTGATGGCCTTGTCCGGCGCCCGGTGACTTTCTGTTACCATGCTGAAGGAGCCCCCGGGAAGTGATGGCCCACTGTGGCTGTTCACCCTGCTTGTCAGCTCCCTAAATTCAAGATCTGGGCTCCTGACCTCGCAGCATTGAGGCAGTTATCCAGATCCCCACCCTCCTAACCATGAAAGCCTGAAGAGATGGCAATAATGTCCAGAGACCTTGGATGCCATCACATCTGGCGGTGACCCTCTGGAGAAGCCCAGGGCAGGGCCGGTGATCCCACACCCAGGTTGGGGGCCTGAGCTCCAGGAGACACCTTTGTGGAGCCCGCAGGGCAGAGCCGTGCAATCGGGCTCTAAAGGAGAACAGGTGCCCTTGTCTTTAAGGAAGTCAAATCCTGTTGTGTTTCTACCCTGCCCAGAAGTGGCAGTTGTTTTTCAGCTGCTGAGTTGTGCGACCCCATGGACTGCAGCACCCCAGGTGCCTCTGCCCTCCACTGTCTCCCAGAGTTTGCTAAAATTCATGACCATTGAGTGGGTGATGCTAGCTAGCCATCTCATCCTCTGACACTCGCTTATCCTTTTGCTTTCAATCTTTCCCAGCATCAGGGTCTTTTCCAGTGAGTTGGCTCTCCACATCAGGTGAAAGCATTGGAGCTTCTGCTTCAAAATTAGTCTTTCCAATGAATATTCAGGCTTGATTTCTTTTAGGATTGACTGGTTTGATCTCTTTGCTTTCCAAGGGACTCTCAAGAGTCTTCTCCAACACCACAGTTTGAAAGCATCAATTCTTGGCACTCAGCCTTCTTTGTGATCCAACTCTCACATCTTTACATGACTACTGGAAAAACCATAGCTTAGGCAAAGTGATGTCTCTGCTTTTTAATATGCTGTCTAGTTTTGTCATAGTTTTCCTTCCAAGGAGCAAGCATCTTTTAATATCATGGCTGCAGTTACTGTCCACAGTGATTTTGGAGCCCGAGAAAATAAAATCTGTCACTGCTTCCACTTTTTCCCCTTCTATTTGCCATGAAGTGATGGGACTGGATGCCATGATCTTAGTTTTTTTCATATTAAGTTTCAAGCCAGCCTTTTCACTCGCTTTCACCCTCATGAGGAGGCTCTTAAATTCTTCTTCACTTTCTGCCATTAGAGTGGTGTCATCTGCATATCTGAGTTTGTTAATATTTCTCCCGGCAACCTTGATTCCAGTTTGTGATTCATCCAGTCCAAGCATCTCGCATGATGTACTCTGTATAAAAGTTAAATAAGAAAGGCGACAACATACAGCCTTGACGTACTCCTTTTCTAATTTTGAACCAGTCAGTTGTTCCACGTCCAGTTCTAACTGTTGCTTTTTGACCTGCATACAGATTTCTCAAGAGATAGGTAAAGGCTTTAGGGTAGTCAATGAAGCCAAAGTAGATATTTTTCTGAACTCCTTTGCTTTCTCCATGATCCTGGTTCCTTTGCCTCTTCAAAACCCAGCTTGTATATTGGTTCATGTACTGCTAAAGCCTAGCTTGAAGGATTTTGAGTATAATCTTGTTAGCATGTGAAATGAATGCAATCATATGGTACTTTGAACATTCTTTGGCATTGCTCTTCTTTGGGATTGGAATGAAAACTGACCTTTTCCAGTTCTGTTGCCACTGCTGAGTTTTCCAAATCTGCTGACATATTGAACATAGTATTTTAACAGCATCATCTTTTAGGATTTTAAATAGCTCAGCTGGAATTCTGTAACTTCCACTAACTTTGTTCTTAGTAATTCTTCCTAAGGCCCACTTGACTTCACACTCTGGGCTATCTGGCTCTAGGTGAGTGACCACACCATTGTGGTTGCCTGGGTCATTAAAACCTTTCTTGTACAACTCTTCTATCTACTCTTGCCACTTCTTAGTCTCTTCTGCTTCTGTTGGATCCTTGCCATTTCTTCCTTTATTGAGCTCATCTTTGCATGAAATGATCCCTTGATATCTCCAACTTTCTTGAAGAGATCTCTAATCTTTCCCATTCTATTGTTTTCCTCTCTTTGCACTGTTCATTTATGACGGCCTTCTTATCTCTCCTTGCTATTTTCTGGAACTCTGCATTCCTTTGGGTATATCTTTCCCTTTCTCCTTTGCCTTTTGCTTCTCTTCTTTCCTCAATTATTTGTAAAGCCTCCTCAGACAGCCACTTTGCCTTTTTGCATGTCTTTTTCTTTGGGATGGTTTTACTCACTGTCTTCTGTACCATGTCCTGAATCTTCAACCATAGTTCTTCAGGCACTCTGTCCACCAGATACAATCCCTTGAATTTATTTGTCACCTCCACTGTATAACCATAAGGGATTCGATTTAGGTCATCCCTGAATTGCCTAGGGGTTTTCCCTATTTTCTTCAATTTCAGTCTGAATTTTGCAATAAGGAGCTCATGATCTGAGCCATAGTCAGCTCCAGGCCTTGTTTTTACTGACTGTGTAGAGCTTCTCCATCTTTGGCTGTGAGCGACACAATTAGTCTGACTTCTGTATCAACC